CTTGCTATGACCAATTTCAAAGCTTGAGAGTGTGATTGATTCTGTTTTTGAGTAAATAAAAAACAAAGTGAATATTCCTTTTCGCTTTTGAAGTACACATAACACTCGGATTTAAATCCGAGGTTTTCGCATTTATTTATCTTTAAGATCGTTGAGTGCATTTGTAACATTTGTGAAGAGTCCGCTAATGGATTATAAGATAATCTTCGTAAGCATTAGTATCTCGTCGATATTCAGCTGCTTTTCATTCATAATCACTTTTTGTACTTAGAGGTAAACCACCACTTTTGTCACATACACGTAAAATAAGTTGTCCTTTTACTAATTTTCGTCGAATTGATTTAACTAGATCATATTCTCGTTGAGCACGCATTTGATCAGTAAATGATAATCGAGCCATAAAACGAAGACTTAATCGATTTTCAAGAAGTTCTGCATATCGATCTAACATTGCCTTTGGTGATGCTCGATTACAGTATTTAGTCAATTGTTGTGTAACTTGATTTTAATATTCTTCAAAGCATTTTGTATTTGACTTTGTCGATATTTATATGGACGAAAAGCACTTTGATTCTGTCGAATATAACTTTCACCTTAAACAAAGGAAAACGTAATTTTCGAAATGTTTAAGAATGAGAAAGAGAAGAACACATCAACAATGATCAATCTTACCTCATGATAGATAAGCCAATCCATCAGCATTTTAATTATGATGTAGGACATCGATGGTTACTTGTGGAGATACACCAACAGTTTTCTTTGCCAATGATGAACGTTAACGATGACGAGCAATGATTTGACGAAAATGAGTCATTCTATCATTGATCTCTTGTTTAATACGTTATGTTCGATGAATCATATAGATTTTAACAGCTTGAAAAAGAGTCAATCCATTGATCGTAATTTTATTACAAGTAAAATTTAATTCAAGCTCATTCAATGCTTGTTGATATTGTTGTTCATAATCATTAATTTTGAGTCGATAAGTATATATAAAAATATTTAATGTAGTTCATTTTCCATGTTGTAAAATTTTTCGACGTTTAGTCTTCATTTCTACAAGCGTACGATCAGCAATCGATGGCCAATAAAAATCTTGTGCAATATATTGTTCCAATTGATCGAAGATTGATGGTAAGAATTAGTGAAGAATGCGTTCTTTTAACATAATCAATTCTTCATATATTTCGAATTGTAATTGTCGTAGATGAATGAGCTGTTGAAATGTTTGTTGTCGAACAGTTGTTAAATTATACGCTGATAATTGGTGATAGAGTTTCTGATCATAAATATCATCTTTGTACATAATCAATTGATTTTCGATGCGTTTAAATAAATGTTTTTGTTATAGATAAACAAATTCTTTCAAGAATTTGTCCATAATCTCTACAGATGGTAATAAGATCGATATTGATGATTGTGTTTGTCTGATTAATTCCATGTTACATTGATCCAATTGATGTTTGATATCGGTTAGTTGTGTCATAACAAATTGTTAACAGATCTCTGGTTTATCAATCTTAGCCATCAGATATTATTGATGCTACAATAAATGAATAAATGAAAGAACAGATCATTTGCTACACTGTTATTATTATCAAAACCTCTTACTGGCCAGAATTTTTCTTGACAACCAAGATTCAAAGAAGATTGCCACAGGTGTCGATCGATATCAAGACGAGATTGACGATCTAATAATTGTAGTCGTAAATGAATAAAGATTTGTTCATTCTTTTTGTTTAATGAAGAAGTGAGGGTATCGATATAATATCTTTCAAATTCACCTGATAAAGTTCTGGCAACATAGAAACAACTGCTGTCATGGAACGGCCTATTTCTACTCACCCTTTGTTTGGATTGAATAAATTCAACTAGAGAAGCCATTCGTTAATCGTCATAGCTGACGTGAAACTAATGCCTATCTAAAAAAAAA